CTGCACGTTTGGAGCAGGCTGATAAATCACATCAGTCGTGTTCTAATTTTGAGTACTACAACTTACAGGACTCAAACTGTGAGTGCCATGTAGAGGAGATATCCCAGGATCGACAGATTCCCGATTATTCATTTGCATTAAAGGATGCGAAGCAAGATTTCTCGCGATTTCTTGATAAAATTACTGGCCTTGGTGCAAAGCAATCTGCATACGAGAGTCCGTTCTCTGTTGACGCATTGTGTAAGTGTAACGCTGACTTCTAAACGATAGAAGACACAGAGGTTCTCTTGCGTAAAGGTTTACTTATCAGAGGAGGCAGGGGATCAGACACAAAGGCTTCAAGTAACACGTTACTAGTATATAACAAATACTGTATTGAGTTGAGCACGAAGCTCCTATCTAAGGAAATACTATCTACTTATATAGTGGCGTCGTGCCTAGTGGACTCTTGGGAACTCACTCGAGTCCTCGGAGTCCTGGACTCTTAGGACTCTTCTCATCATCCTGCGAGTCCATCACGTGCCTAGTGGACTCCTGGGAACTCACTCGAGTCCTCGGAGTCCTGGACTCTTAGGACTCTTCTCATCATCCTGCGAGTCCGTCACGTGATACTTTCGGAACTACTATTCCCCGCTGCCCTTCCAGGTACCAGGGCCGGTCTCATGCGACCTCCCTCCTTCCTGTCCTGTAGTTGGCCAGCCTTCTTGTTCCGTCGTAACAGTAAGGCGGCCCATCATGTGAGGCCGCCCTGAACTCAGGGGCTGCCTGGCAGTGGAGCCACTAGGGCTCGGTAAACTAGGGCATGTAGGAACGTAGGATATAAGGAGCTGGAAGCCTCAGAAGGAGGCCTCCAGCCGATAGTCGCTGTACATACGTAGACCTACTGTCTTGCAATACGATCTCACTTCCTGCCTTCTGACCTGGTTCCCTGGACTCCCGTGAGACCCTGGGCTTACACGTTACACATTGCCGCCGGAAAACAGACCATACACCTATGCGATTCCAGTCAGTTTATCTGACCTTACCAACGGGGCTATCGACATACCCCAGCTGGACTCTGGCGGAGATGCTATAGAGCTTCAAGTTGATATGTTAACCCCTAATATTTTGACCATAGTTAGCAAGGAAGTTGCTCGGATTAGGAGAACTCTTGGGATTCCCATTATCTTCCACATCGATGAAGTTTTGTTGAGCGATATCAGCGCTATTATATCGCTACTTTATCATGCCATACGTCTCAGAGCTGAATATCTTGTCATTACGCTGTGGTTGGAGGATAATACTATTAGGGAGATCGTGCATGTTCGAGGGGAAACAAGATTATTGGGCAATTCATCGACAAGAAGGCTGTCAGTTGGCATGATCAAATGCGGATATCAAAATTTGAAAGGGCAAAGCAATTTGATTGCCATATAATCCGATTATTACGAACGGCGCTTACAACCGAGGATAATACGGATGTGAGAGCTTTTGCGAGTAGAGTTGCCACAATTTCGACTCGCCAACCGAAGCATATTGTTAGTGTGCGTCATGGGTAACCGGTGGTTGCAAACCGCCGGTCTGAAGATTTTCCAACCCAGACCACGGTCTGGGTTGGAAATACTGAAGAAACCACCCAGACCGACGTGGGCACCCAGCGGTTCCTTGGCAACCCATCACGTTTGATAAATTGTCACACGTGATGGGTTGCCACACATGATGGGTTGCCACAAATACAATCGTTACTATAGTTATTACTATACAGTTACAATAGACCAATATAGTAGAAACGTTTCATTGGATTTCTACTATCTGTATCCTGCTACTCATTTGCCCTATTCCTGGTATCTTCCATCTCTCCTATTTTAGTTGGCCTGAAAATGAAAACCCTGTCATGTGTAAGTGCACCTGCTGGACAAGCTTCATGTCCTTCTGTTGAATTGTGACTCTCTTTGCGTGGATAGCAGCCAGCTGGGTCACTATAACAATTACTATAATGATTACTATAAACGTGTAGACTCACTTACTTTCAAACTCCTTGACGAGTGTAGTTTCTGCAGCTTCCTGGAGAGCAGAAATTGCAGAAGACTGAAGCCGAAAGTCCTCGCGAGGGCGCAAGTCGCTGATGATCTCACGGATAAGTCGCGTGAATCGCACGGGGAAGGAGAGGTTCTGTCGATTTTTGGTACTGTTTGATTTGTCGGAGAGCAACGGCTGTTTTTGATCAGAAAGGATTTATAGTAATAGTTATAGTAATCAACTTACTACCAGGCTTATAACGACGGCTTTTCTTCGCGGCCTTCTTCACAATCTTCTTTCCGCTGATCCCTGAGGTCTTTCTTGGAGCCTTTCCAGCAGTCTTTTGGGCCGGCATCTTCTTGCTGAACTTTTGACCAGGCGCAAACGTTGGAATTGGACCTTTCCGAACCTTGTGTTGTGTTGCTGGAGGGGTCTGGAGTTGAAGGCGTGCACTCTGGCAAGTTGGAGTGTTTGGCTCAAGTGCTGGTTGTACTTGTGGTTGTCGTGACCAAAGTGAATAGTTGGTCAGTTGCATGAATTTGTGGGATTGTTTGAGTGGGGCTTTTTTTCCATCGGGCTCAGTTTCAGATTCGGAGCTTGTGACTGGATCAGGGGCATCGTAGGCAGCATCCAGATCCATGACACTAAAAGAGGGTTACTATAAGTATTACTATAAGATTTGGGTGCTTTACTTACCAGTTTGCCAGCCAGTAGCAATTCACATAGCCATGTTGATCTGAAGGTCGGGGGGGTGTTGTGTAGGAAAAATAAAGGTAGGGTGAGGTTGTTGGGGTTGGGGTTGTGAGTTAGCTCGCTTAGTAAAATGTCTTCAGCTTCACTTTTTGTACGGTAGTAGGCGATAAAGGTGAATTCTCCCACAACAATAGTAAGGACAACAATAGTAAGCGACCTTATTGACGTGTTTAACAACAACAACCTTCTTCTTCAACCTTCTTCTTCAACCTTCTTCTTCAACCTTCTTCTTCAACCTTCTTCTTCAACCTTCTTCTTCAACCTTCTTCTTCAACCTTCTTCTTCAACCCCCAACACCCCCAACACCACCGACACTTCTAAGATCAAGGAGGTAAATCTACTCAATCCTTTCTACTTACTTTATAGTAATTGTTATAGTAAGACAGCCACGATGGTTGGAAAATGAAGAACGACGACGAGAAGTCAAAGAACAAGAATACCCAGCAGGTCACAAAACGCCGCAACAACATGAGTGAAGTTGAACGCACAATCGACAATGCCAAGAGGGCAGATACAGCTGCTGTTTCATATGCCTTGCGAAATCTCCGGGCAACTTCTGAGTTCAAGAACCTCGACAGCCAAGCTCAAGAACGTCGAGTAGAAGCCAAAAAGACCGAGGTAGCTCTCAAGCGGTAAGATCTATTCCTATCCACTGTTATAGTAATAAGTATAGTAACATAGAAACAGTGTACGTGATGGAAAGCATGCAACTGTTGTTCAGCAACGTCTTGGGATTGGTGAGGGAGGGGGGGCATATTCTCTTTGGGACGACAGAAACATTGCTTGGGAAACCGAGGATGAGGATGATGAGGTAGTGCAAGAGGCTATGTGGAGGGAAGATGAGAAGGCCAATGGCGTTGATGATGTTGGAATTCAGAAGATCCAGAGAGAAATGGTGGCACAATCTGTCGCTACAACCAAGGTATGGATGAGAACCCATTACCCATTACATTTGAACTTTACTAATATAATATAGAAGGTGGATCAGTTGGGATTCTCCCTCTGGCGCCGAAAGTGGAGGGTTGCATACCAATCAACGTTACGACTAATGAAGAAGGTCAACACAGACCCAGACTTCCTTGAGAAATTGCCCCCCTGCAATTGATCCAACTACAGGGTAAGTAACTATACGGAGGTGTTGTTCATAAGTTTTGTGAGTGGGTCGTGAGATGACCGGGGGTTGGGCATGGGTTGGAGCATGGGTACGCGTAGGCTTGTTTGTACCTTTTTAACGTGTCAAAATTCCTACTATTGTATTTTATATGTAGGAAATTCATACTCTTTCAATAACTACAATGCCTCATCTTACTCGCAATGAGTGGCTTCGTTGCGCACTACTACGCTCCCTAGATTGGGAGTTCCAAAAAATTGCAGCCTATATTGGCTGCACGGAACGGCAGGCTTGGTATGCTTGCCAGGGCCCTCCAACTCTGAAGAAGCGTTCGGGTAGGCCACTTATTCTATCCGATGAGTAAGTTCAAGAGGTTATTGAGTTTATAGCCTCATCTCGCATGAATAGGCATATGCCATATACAAATATAATACGCATTCTTAATATTCCATGCTCACGGCTTGTCCTAACCTGCGCTCTGTCTGTGAGAGGCTATAATCGATGTGAGTATCCCTCTCTACTTTACTACTATATAGACTAATAATTATTAAGGGGTTGCTATGCGGAAGCCTATTATCTCAGAGACAAATCGACAAAAGCGACTTTCATGGGCTATTGAACATAAGGATTGGGTACGGAATGATTGGAATAGGATACTTTGGACTGACGAGACGTGGGTAACGGGAGGCTGCCATACTCGTACGTGGGTTACTCGAAAAGCAGGGGAAATGTGGGATGAGACATGTGTTGTAGATAGAGTACAACGGAGAAGGTAAGAGACTCCTATTTACTATAGGATTTACTAACAATCCCTAGAGGTTGGATGTTCTGGGGCTGCTTCTCAGGTGGTCTTGGAAAGGGTCCTATACTATTTTGGGAGAAGGAATATGGGAAAATAGGAGCTGAGTCCTATATGGCTCATACTGTCCCTCTAATCCACGGCTGGCTACGCCTACACCCAGGCCTTACATTGATGCAAGATGGAGCTCCAGGTCATAGAGCAGGTGCAACATATGAAGAGTTGAGATCCCGTGGTATTTGCCCTATAGAATGGCCCCCGTATTCACCAGATCTCAACCCAATTGAATGGGTGTGGCATATTATGAAGAATTATCTACAAGATAATCATCCAGAACATATGTCCTACGACCAGCTCCGTGTAGCTGTTAAGGAAGCGTGGGAGCAAGTTGGAGAAGCTGAGCTTAATGCTCTCCTTAATAGTATGCCTACACGTATGGCAGCAGTAATTGCTGCAAATGGTATGCACACAGAGTACTAGGCTTATAGTATAGTTTTATATAGGGTAGATATCTACTCTACTCATTATTCTACAGAATTGATTGTCATTATTCTACAGAATTGATTGCTCTCACACTCAAGTGTTCATGACGCGTGAGAATCGGTACTTTGGCCAGGCCATAATTGCCAAGCCAGCCTACGCAGGGGGCCCTAGCCTGACCCACTCACAAAACTTATGAACAACACCTCCGTAGTAATAATTATAGTAACTAGCTAACATCTCTAGGATCTACTACAACAAGGTTCCGCCACATCTATACTTCTCAAAGACGGAAATGGCTGTTTGGAGAAACTTCACCTCATGGAATCTTGATGGTGACATTGCATATCTTCCTGGGCCAGCTGAGTGGTACCCTGATAATTACGATACTACTCAGCATGGTTTCCATGTTGATCTTGATGCTGGCAGAGCATATGAAGCTTGGGAGATGTTGGCTGAAGAAACCGAGCCTACCAATTTCAAGTGGGTCTTGCCATCCGATGATACATTGGTACTGTTGCCTCCAACAAAAGAATCAGAGGAGTTTCTCAGCCAGTTCTACGAAATGTAGATTAGTTTCTTCTTCTACAATAGTCTAGGTAGATCAATACACTACTGTTGACGCTACCACTTCTTAGTTTACTATAAATATTACTATAATTGGCTTATAAGGCTATAGGCCCATAATACCAAAACACGCTACTACCATATACTCCACAAGTAATCTAAAATATTTTAAAGAGGTGAATTTAAGCGAAATAGAGAAGTACGTATAGAATAGATGTAGACCTTAATAAATATTCAGGTTGACTGTTTTATTTTCCTTATAATAATATAATATTGAATATTTTAAAATATTATGTCTTATAACCAATCTTTAAGTTCGCCAGCACAACCTTATAGCGATGTATTCTCTCTTGATGAGCCTTTATCTAGTAATAGAACACCTGAGATTGAGTCCTCCCAACAACTTAACAACCAATGGGATGGGCTAGAAAAGATCCAAGGTCTAAATGTGCTAAAGTGGACGCCTTCAAAGGCAGACCTATTCAACGACTGGTGGCATTACCAGTCCTGGTATAAAGAGCAGCCAAATATGTTTTTAAGCACTGATAAGCAAATCAACTGGGGGTCAACAACCCGGACCTCATTATCATGGAGACACTTTGACCAAGGAGCTCGAAAATCAACTGGGGAACCAGTAATTGTTTGCCAGAGGTGTTTGAAAATACTCATCCACCCAAGTATTAAAGGCTCAGGGACAAGCACAATGAGCACTCACCTTCGATCAGCTGGGTGTATAAGGAAGTCATCAAACCATTCTACATTACATCAGAGCCAGCTCCGCCTCTCGCAATCCTCTCCAGTAAGCAATATTACATATTACTATACTTATTACTATAAACATACCTAACTATTATTTAGAGTATGCGGCTACAACCAGAAGACGACCCAAAGGAGCATTCTACAGTTACGTTCTTGAGACTGTAGTATCTCTTAACATATCATTCCGATCTGTTGAGAATCCTATTTGGGGAGAGATGGCATTATGGCAGAATCAGAAATATCCACTTCCTTCACCAACAACCTTACGGCGGCGCCTTGATGTTATGGTTAGTAATGCACAGCAGATTGCCCTTCATGGTCTTGTACTGGGGCAAGGTGTGCATTATCTCTTGACAATTGGTCTAGCCCTGGAACAAGGCACTCCTTTATGGGTATTATGGCAACATTCATTACTGATAAATGGGAATACCGTGAGGCTTTAATTGGGTTTGAGTATCTTGATGGAGCCCATACAGGGAAAGATCTTGCAACCATTGTCCAGCATGTTATATCCCAATATCACCTCGATGGTAGAGTTCATTGTATTACAACTGATAATGCAAGTAATAATACTTCAATGATGGGGGTTATTAACGACATGGTAAAAGAGCTATCATCAGAGCCAACAAGATACCATGATGGAGTCATTCACCATATACCATGCTTCGCACATATTGTCCAGTTTGCACAAAAGGCTCTCCTTGGGTCAATCCGATTAAACCCAACAAACTCAGAGCTACAGACTGACTGGGATGAAAATTCAGCCAATGAGATTAGAGATCTAAGTAAAGAGAGGGGCCTTCCATGGACCCTTGCCAAGGTATGTTTATAGTAATTTTTATAGTAATTGCCACTAATATAAAACTAGCTTCGGAAGCTAGCTGTCTTTGTGAATTCAAGTTCACAGCGAAGAGAGAGATTTATGGGAATCCAAAGACAGTGTATTAAAGATGGAGCAAAGGTCTTACGACTTATCCAAGATGTGTTAACGCGATGGGACTCAACCCTACATATGATGCTATGAGCAGTCTTACTCCAAGTGAATAAGTTTACAACTGAGTTTACTGCAGCTAATATATTTCATATTAGTCCCCCAGAGTGGAAACACATCACCTACCTTATTGATGTTACTCGCCAGTTTAGCTTCTGGACCTCAAACATGGGTATAGCAAGTGGTGCTCGACTAGGCTTTGTTTTACCAGCATATGACGAGCTATTTGAAGGGCTTGAGGAGTGTACCCGTCGGCTAAAGCCACTACAAGACCCATGGATCAAAAAGCTTCTTATAGCTATTGATAAAGCTATTCAAAAGCTTGACAAGTATTATACAAGATCTTGTACAGGTACTGGAAGCTTCTATGCCTTTGGAGCTATTCTATCTCCCCAGTTAAAGATGTAAGTGTTTAACCCTGACTATTGTTGGTTAAATCCTGAAACAAACTGGCAGAGGCATTTTGAGAAGCAATTCCGGGCACTATATACTCAACATTACGCCAACCAAGAAAGGTCAAAGCAGCACCAGTCACAGTATACAGAACTAGACAAGGACCCAATGGCTTTAATGTTAAATCGGAAGCGAAGCTATAACTCCTTAAGTCAGGCCACTGACCAGGGAGGAGAGATTGAGCGGTACCTTGCTCTCCGTAAGTCTATAGTAATAATTATAGTAATAATTACTAACTTTTACTAGCACCCTCCCACCAACCACCATTATTATGGTGGAAAGATAACGAGCGATTATTCCCTGGGCTTGCTGCTATGGCCCGGGATATACTTTGTATTCCTGCATCTGAAGCCCTCGTTGAGCGGGTCTTTAGTACTGCCCGTGCTGTCTGCAATTATAGGCACAACCAGATGGCCCCTGAGACAATAAGGGGTATTATGCTTGTCTTCTACCGACAGAAAATCGAACGGGAACAGCTCTTTGAACACTACTCAGTTACGGATATTATTGATTCAACCTATATGAATGATGAGGAACTATCATTTGAGTATAATGCTCTAATTGATAATATCCAGGAGAAGATGGCACTACAGTACATTCCAGACCGAAGCCCAAGGCAGCCAAATACCTATGACCGGACAAGGCGGAACAAAGACCGGTTTGAATTTGTTCAATCACGACGAGGTCTCCATAGCTTGCCAAGGGTACAGCGGTCACAAGGCCAGCAAAGCCAAGTTCGTTACCAAAGTCAAGTTGGTCTCTCAACTTTTGACTTTATTGACCATGAGGTAGACGATTTTGAGGGGGTACCCCCTAGCCAGAGTGAGGGTGATTATTTACTACCTTCACTTCCTATTGCAAAGAAATCACGGAAGGATAATGGGGCCCAGTTGCCCCAGAAGGCAGTAGTTGAAACAGTTGAGTTAAGCCAGGTCCGTAATAAGTCTCGGTCTGGTCGGGAAATTCAGGAGTCATGGCGTAACATAGATCTATAGTAATAAATATAGTAATTGCTTGTAAATTATACGTCCTATACAAACTACACTCACATATATAAAGTACACGTGATAGCAAGTGTAAATGTCCCGTGACTGGTTTCTTGGCAGACCGGTGGGTACCCGTGGGTTATTGGCTTCAGACCGGCCCATGGTCTGGGTGGAAGTTTTCCACCCAGACCGACCCATGGGCCGGTCTGGGTTAGGTTACCCGGTGGGGTCGGTTACCCATAACGCACACTACTTATTGTGTACAATCTTGGGCCTTTGGGGAAGGCCTCTGTGATTGCAAACACAATATTTAGCCCTGTTACTAACCCTGCGATTAGACAAAAAGATAGCCGACCCGAGAACTTTTTGATCACCGCACAGGAAGCAATGGAGAATCTGTACGAAACGGGTGTACTTGATGGCCTGAAATTTGTCACTTTCGGCCGCCATGTCAACTACTCTCTGTCGCCAATGATGCATGAGACCGCTTATGCACACCTTGGGATGAAAGGACAGTACTATAGGTACACTGGTTCATCACTCGACGAGCTAGCTGCATTATCACAGGACCCCCATTTTGGAGGTGCTGGGATTAGCCAGCCTTTCAAAGTCGAAATCATGTCGCGCTGTGTAGCACTCACCCGCCACGCAAAAGCAATTGGTGCCTCTAAGGTGTGATTGTGTGCTCTCCCAGATGGGTCCGACGATTTTTTACTCAATCAAGCCAATAGACGGGGCCACGCTGGTCGTGTATGTGCTTGGTTCGCCGACAACACTGATTTTCTAGGCATATTAGCATGTCTTCGGCGGAACGCCACTCCGAGAAACGTCGTGCAACCGTCAAAGACAACCGGACTTGTTATAGGTGCAGGAGGGATGGCACGAGCTTCAATATATGCTATGATCCTGCTAGGATGTCGGAATATATTTATTTACAATCGAACGCCTAAGAATGCGGAAACGGTTGCAGATCATTTCAACTCTTGGGCTGGAGCCTTATCAGCGAATGAAAGGGTCGTTACTGTTTTGCGAACAAGAAACGAACCTTGGCCTGCCGAGTACCGGCAGCCTACTTTCTTGGGTTTCCTGTGTACCTGCCTACGAGGTAGAGATCTATAGCCCAACAGATTTTGAGGTTCCAGAACAGTGGCTAGGGAGCCCGTCAGGAGGACTATATTTTATCTTTTCAGGCCCCTTCAAAGCTCCTTTGTATTCAATAAACTAGATAATAACAGGTACATTTGATAGTTGGCATATAAGCCACTGAATACGCCTCTTGTGATACGACGCTTTCGTCAGAAGACGGGGCGGGCTTGGGTTATGGTTGATGGTTTAGAGTTCATACCGGCGCAAGGATTTGCACAGTTTGAGCTTATGACTGGAAGGAGGGCACCGCGAGCCCAAATGAGAGCCGCTGTGGAAAACAACTATGAGAAGGTAACAGGGACCACAACTGACTCAATGGAATAACGCCAACCCTAGCGTTCCGGCTTCATAGCATATGAAAGGATAGCAAAGCTCTCAGAAGTGCCGCGGAAGCCTCTTGGCTCATACGTAAAGCGTCCCAGCCAAAATCATCTGTGCCCAAAAATAAAGACCCCATCCCACAGCAATTTTTATGACGGAATTCCGCCTAATGGTCGCCTTCTTGACTCTCCTTGCTACGCCCGAGTCCCCAAACGCATCCGCCGCAACGAAAAGATCGCTGAGGACAAACATGATGGCTCCTAGAAGCCGTTGGCGCGGCCAGTTGGAGGAAGCTGGGGCGGCAGTAGCGGCCGCTACGGCCAGCATCGAGCTGATGATAGTTGCATACACGGAAACCAGGGGCCGCATTTCGGCAGCAATGGAGAGGTTGAGAACGTTGCTCGATTTCGTGGATGTCGGCCCTGGGTAGATGGCACCGAGCCATTTCCCGGCCGCCATCGATGCCACGAACGTGATTACAAGCGTCGACTGGGAAACTTCGTCGGCATTGCGAAGGAAGGCAAGGATATAGGCTATATGCGCGCCGGCGAATGCGAGGATGCCCAGCTTGAATGAAGTAGATATTTCTACTTCTTTTGGTGCATCACGCGAGGTGTTGCCTTTCCTGGCGGCCTTGGAGGACTCCACCGATTTGGAGCTGGAGTCGTAGTATTCATTCCCAGAGGGAATTAAGCATATGTCGCCGATGAAAGATAGGACGAGGCCATATATTATGAGAGTGTCGTAGGGCGACCATTCTTTTAATAAGAGTGGCCCACTAGCAAATGCTGTGGAACAGATGATCTTGAAAACTGCATGGCCGGCGAGGGAGGATGTGGTTTCGGAGATTACCAGCACAGGGAGGGCAACCAAGAGGAGATACACGGCCGCATATGGAGGAAGAACCGGGATTGAGTCCGAGATATTAAACGACATGATGGTAGCAAGGAGGTCTAATAGGTTTGAAAAGTTTGAAAGAAGCTGTTCTCCAACCTTGCCCTGAGATCCAGGACTGCCTGACACGTGCTACTACCGTCAAAAGCCGCCGGTTTTGAAGGGTGGGGATATACCTCGGCTTCGATTTAACTAGTTGATGATTGACACTAGCGATTAGTTCCCGTTCTCGCAACTGCCCCTGGATCAAATCAATTGGTGTTTACTGTATATGAAATAACTGAAACTTAGATCATTTAAACGGCATTTGATAAGTTTGATAACTTAATTGCCCGTAAATTGATCTAAGGAGATATTTTGGATTGTCATTAATTTACAGGTATCAATTCATATCTATCAAGACCCGCCCTCCGAACTTTTAAGCAACACAGGGACCACATATCCCCAGCTTAGATCCCGAACCGCTTCAGCGACTCCTCCTCATTTACCGGTATATCATGGCCAATATTATCAGCACTGACGCTCTCTACTTTATCACCATAGTTCACCCTCGTATATCCAGCCTCGGGCGAATCAGTCGATGTCACCGGCTGCACATCCGCAACACCCCAGACAGTCGTCCACTGCTTTACCTCTTGATGTAAATTTTGGTAGTTGAGGATACCGTGGACAGTCCCGTGCCAAAATTGCATTCTTGGATACGCTCCGGTGTAGCCGGGATACATGTCCCTAGCAATGGCAGCCCACTCAGCTCCGGTCTTAATGATCTTCCCTTGCGCACTATCGGCATTCCAGTAGTCCACCTCTGGGCAGGCCCAGAGGTGGAGCGGAAACACCAGCGTATGCGGACCCAGCGACGAAGATCTCGGGATATGCGGCCGCCATCACGTTGGTCATCATTGACCCCGATGACCTGCCGGTCATGAAGACTTTGGACTTGTCGGCGTTATACTTGGCAATGATGTACTTCACCATGTTTGAGATGGACTGAGAGTCACCACCGCCATCGTGTGTGAGAGTTTGCTTGCATGCTATATCCCAGTAGTGGTCTTTAAGGTTGGGGGTGTTGGGATAGACAACGATGAACCCTTTCGTGTCGGCGATGCTCGCCCATCTTGTGTCGTTATAGAATTCTAGGCCTGTGCCACCACAACAGTGCATACCAAGAATCCCGAAGAATCAAACTATGAATACGAGCTTATGCATCCTGCGCCGCCTTCTCCTCCTCCTCATCCTCCCCATCCTCCAGAAAGCAGAAGAAGCTCAGCAGATTTCCATCCCCATCCTTTACCCGAAAAATCCCTATAACCCCACTACCTGTCCCCAATCTCATCCACGATCCCCCAGTCCCCCCCCTCCTTCTCTCCAGACCCCTTCTCCCATCACCCTCCCCCGATCCTGCCCATCCACCGTCAAGAAGAAATAAATATTCGCCGCAGCCTTGTCCCAATCAGTGACGCAAACGTCGGCTCCCCCGCTCCGGCAAGGGGGTGGTCATCATGGACGTGTGCCTCCTAGAGTGAAGCCAAGGATGGAGGTGTAGAAGGCGATCGTAGCAGGGATAGAATGGGACGGGAAGTGGGGGATGATTTTCCCGCGGAGGCGGTTGGGTGTGGGGCAGGTGGCGGTGTCATCGTTCGAAGCAGTTGTAGTGGGGTGTGTTGAGGTTTTGATCGTGGCTGTAGGTTTGGAGAGTTTGGATTTTTGGGCTGGCTTCGGTGATCATTTGATAGTGAGAATTTGTCTTTTGGTGGTTGTGTCTGCCGCCAAGTTTTCACTTTGCGAATGGGCCGGCCCATTGGCTAAGTGGCCGGCCCAACTATAAAGTAGTATAATAGAATAGTAAATAGATGCTCTATACTACATTTCCAGCAGTGTCTGCCAGTGCTCGTTTCCGACGAGGCCCCTCAACTAAAGTTATTTCTATACGAGTAGCTAGACTTGATAAATTGCCACAGTTATGGTCATCATTATGGCAGTGCACGCTACACTCCTTTACTTCCTTATAACAACAGCACCTCTTTGTACTACATTGACCCTTACATTGGCATGATACCCCAACCTGTGCGCTTGTAGAAGCCTCTCTAGCTGCAAGCCCTAGCGTTAGTTGCTTTGTAGAAGTAGGAATTTGGATATGGTCTGAGATCCAAATTCCTACTTCTACAAAGCAACTAGTCTACAACTCCAAGTGAGTTTGTAGATATAAGGCGTTGTATAATACCAGAGTGTGTAAGAATCCGGTATCTATGAGGGTAAGGCTCTTCTAGAATGTGTGCAAAGAGCCTCTTATTATCAGTTGAGGTTCTATCCTCTCAAGGCACCTTTATAGAGACTATAGCTCTAATATCAAAGTGTTAGATATCATGCTTCTTTGTATACTTACATATCATAGAAGCCGTCGCTCTTTAAGTAGCTGCTATAGCTCTCTTAATTACAGGGTCGGGTGTAGCCCGATGTAACGCTGACTTCTAAACGATAGAAGACACAGAGGTTCTCTTGCGTAAAGGTTTACTTATCAGAGGAGGCAGGGGATCGGACACAAAGGCTTCAAGTAACACGTTACTAGTATATAACAAATACTGTATTGAGTTGAGCACGAAGCTCCTATCTAAGGAAATACTATCTACTTATATAGTGGCGTCGTGCCTAGTGGACTCCTGGGAACTCACTCGAGTCCTCGGAGTCCTGGACTCTTAGGATTCTTCTCATCATCCTGCGAGTCCATCACGTGATACTTTCGGAACTACTATTCCCCGCTGCCCCTCCAGGTACCAGGGCCGGTCTCATGCGACCTCCCTCCTTCCTGTCCTGTAGTTGGCCAGCCTTCTTGTTCCGTCGTAACACCCGAAGCTTAGTCCTAGGCTAAGCTGGCACTTGAGCCTAGGTCCCACGCCAGAGCTTAGAATTGAGCTCTTGAGCTAGGCTATATCCTAAGCTCTAGCTTGAGCTTGAGCTTGAGCTTGAGTTCAGAGCCTAGCTCCTGCTCAAGTTCCAGCTTAAGCCTAGAGTCTGGAATTGAGCTCTCGCTCTAGCTCTATTTTGAGCCTAAGCTTAGGGCTAGAGCTAGGCTCAGAATTGAGCCCTAAGCTAGAGAGCTCAATTCTAAGCTGTTCTAGCTCGAGCCTATAGCTTCCTGCTCAACTCTAATTGCAATATCCTTCTAGGCCTGGCTATTAAGCCAGTTAATATGAGAACTCCTGTCTTGGAATAGCAGCTCAGCTGGTGCACACCTAATAGTAGAGTGGATTTGGGTGTTATTGCAAGTGTAACCTTAAGTAGCCTATCCTTCCACTCTGTAGACCTATGATCTATTTGCTCATAGCTTATTCTTAATGACTCCATTTGCCTGCTTAACTAGGCCTTGTGTTTGTAGTGACCGTAGCGCTCTATTTACTACTTGAATTCCATACTTACGTAGTAGGATAAGTAAGGCTCCTTTAAACTCCTTCCTGTTATCAGCTTGTATAATCTTTAGAGGTAAGAAAGCTGTATATGTCACAGTTCACCAAGGCATAGGGAGCCAGTTGGGTATTATGAATTAAACTCAATCTAGAGAAGAAAGGAAAAAGAAGAGGAGCACTCGAGCAGTGGCTCGATCTATATACAGCTATGTTGTTGTGGAGTGAATTCTCTTTAGCGAGACCAGTTCTGAGAATTAACTCCACAACTGAAAACATCGCTCTAATCCCAGAAAGCTTCCCACAACCCCTGAACCCCCACTCGAGCTGCAAGGCACACTTGATATCGTAATACTACCCCCCCCTTACTCCAGAGTTGATCTCCTGATCAAGAAATCCCATTTTCAAGTTCTTCCAAGCTGCCTTGTAGAAAAGCTTCTTTCGAATAATTTTGGAGTCAAGGATTTTGTAAGGACACAGGGCACCCAGCTCACAGTAATAGCATATGAGAGTGCGAGTCGGAGGCTAAACAGATGCTATCCTATAGGTCTACTACAAAGGATACAAAAAAGATGAAGGGGGGGACCCCGTTGAGTTTGTTTCCTTACATACCTGAAATGGGTCCAAGTCGGTTAATCCAACCCTAGCCCTAAACCTTCCACCGCAACAGGTCCACATCAATCCCGAACCTTACAACCTTACTGTTCCCCACTATAGTGTAACTCGCTATGTGCTCCTTAACTGGTACGAAACAGCATTGAGTCGGTTTTCATGCCCGTGGTGACCGTAACAGCTCTGAGGCGGGTCCTTCGAGTATCTAGGTAAGGAGGCATCCTTACAGATTTCGTCCACTTCTGTCATACTGACATTCGTTGCACTCAGTTTGCTATCAAACTCAAGAGCAAACTTAGAAATCTCCTCCTCAAACCTACAAGTCACCATACATATCTTGGCTTATCACACCAACAACAGAAGCAATACTACTCAACGATTGCTGCAAACTCTTCTACTACATCTGTTTATGCTACATACATCACGGCATATCATTTGGACACTCATTGAACAAGTTATTAAGAAAATCTCCTCCTTAAGGGGGTGGGCCAATACTACCACATGGCATATCTCTACCGACTAGAGGCCTAGGAACATGAACGATAGCTCTAGAAGCTTCTACAACCCTCTATGATTCATTACACGTCATCGCTCCTTAGTTACCCACAAGATTGGTTAAGTTATGACATAATTTATCTATAGGTACTCTGACCTTGGACCTCCTTTTCACTTCCTATAGGCTAGGAACCCAAGAGATGGTTCTATGGGATTCTCTTACGTTCACTACATGATTAGCAAGCTAGTTGTGGGTCGCACTTGATTTCTAATACATTTACCAAGCCTGGTTAGTCATGGAAAGTCATGGAAAATGAGAGAACTACACTCCTTTGGCATAAATAGGATTGCCCTTTCCTTAAGAAAGGGCAAGCAGACAATACAGTAAATCGATTATCACATACTTCCACGTCTTTTACAAGCTTCCAAGCATTCATCTTGTTACTCCTTGTTTCTGAAAAGTCAGTGAGGTGTTAACCTCTGACTTACCCCTGAGTTCCCAGACTCAACATTTGTTGCAACTTGTCTGAACCACTTCACTACATCACACACCTGATTGCTGCGTTGTGGAATAGTCTAAGCTACAACCCTTTGGCTCTGTTTCCTAAGACAGTGTGTTGTCTTAGTAAAATCATCCCTTCCTTGGGTGGCTAGATTCTCACATCTGGTGCACCCACCATTACAACTTCCCACTCCTCTTCGCCATTGACAATGACTGGAGGCTCTGGCTCCTGTTGCTGCCCTTCCATTGCATCATTTGAGTCGAGTCTTAATAGATTAGCATGAAAGACTAGATGAATCTTCATGCTGTTTGGAAGTTTGAGCCGATATGCAACTTGCCCAATTCGCTCTAGAATTTCAAAAGGTTCCACTTGCTTGTGGTCTAGCTTCTTTGATGGCCTCTGTGTCTTTATATTTCGAGTTGAAAGCCATACTCTGTCTTCCACTTGATAGCGCGGTGCAGGTTTCCTTTTCTTGTTTGCGAAATGTTCCATTTTTGCTTGCGAGAGCGCGATTTCATCCTGCAGAAACTCCCAAACCTTTGCCATGGTCTGAGCTATGTTCTTGTACTCTTGTTTGGCTTCGTGATATGCTTGCTGCTCTGTATCGAAGCTCATTCTTAGTTCATAGCCCTTGTTCGCAAAAAACGCACTTGTCTTAGTTGCATCTGATGGCAAACTGTTGGCAGCAAACTCCGCCATGCACAAGTATGAAACCCAATTGTCTTGAAGATAGTTCACATGAGCTCGCAAGTAGCGTTCGAGCTCTGCATTGAATCGCTCAGTCTGTCCATCTGTTTCTGGGTGGAAGGCAGTTGAAAGTTTGGCTGAAATTTTCCAAATTTTGCAGAGCAAACTCCAGGCTTCTGCAATGAACTGAGGACCTCTGCCTAATATTATCGAGTTCGGTAGACCGTGGTGCTTCCATACATGTCGAAGTAAGAGCTGTGCTGTAGCTTCTGCAGTAGTCCCTTCTTGCCTAGCGAAACATGGAATGAAATGTCTTTCTTTCGTCAACCGGCATGCAAGAACCAAGATAGCATTGTTCACTCCACAGAGTGGTAATCCTGTCACAAAATCCATTGATATATCCATCCATGGTCGACTGTCAATAGGGATTGGTTGTAGAAGCCCATTGTAGGCATCTCGAGATGGTTTCGATCTTTGACAACTATGGCAGTTTTTGACATATCGAATTATTGTTTTGTCCATGTTTGGCCAGTAATAGTGCTGTAGATATTGAAGGTTATTTTATAACATCCTACTTTTGTAAACATATCGGTGATGTGCGTAGCTTAGCTACCTTTGACGTAGTACGGGAGGTAGATTGGGACGGAATAGAGCAGCCAATAGTTGATGAGGTTGTAGTATCCTGTTCAAACTGATTAAATTGTTCACTTTCGATAGTATACAACATCAGAAGGTTCAGAAGCCATGATGTAGGCTGAATCATAAGACGTAAGGATAGAATTCAGAGTTTTCACGACGACCTGAAAGTTGTGAAAGGATCACGTGGAATACTTAAGTATTGCCAGTATAATACTGAAGTATGGCTAGCAATACTTAAGTATAATACTAGCGGCGGAGAGGTGTTATGATACGGGTCGTATGAATACTTAAGTATAATACGGGCCCGTATACGGGCAATACGAGAGCCTCCGTATACGGGCAATACTAGAAACACTGGGTATGTGGTTGCCTAAAAGCTAGTTTTTATAGCGTGATTGGAACAACACGGGAATTATTCTATGGAAAGCCCATAGGTCTCACATTCACCAACAGGAGCAGCATATAAATCCAATAATGCTACATTCTCATTGGTACAAAGTCTGGCCAGAAGAGCATCGAACTGGTAGCCATTGCAATTTCCCGCCAAAAGTTGTCAAACCGTCATAACAAACTCAACTCATTTAGAATCTCGGGACAGCCAAGTTCGTAGTAGTATCAATCCTCTTCACAGCCCCAAAGCGCTTGTTCCCCTGGTCAAAGATCTGCCTTTCCGTTAGCAACCATTTCATACTCAAAAACCCTCCGTGGAACCACAAAGCAGTCAATATGGGCAAACTTACAGCATAGATCCCCTTCAGGAACGTATCCCCAAGGATATCGAACGGCATCGTCCCACGAGACTGGATTCCGCCATATACCATCCCATTCCCGGCATCAGCAAAGCCGAGATCCTCTTTCTGGATAGCAAACTGCTTGCCACCAACGGCGAGGGTGACGGTAGGCAGTTGATCCTCCGTTGTATCAGCCGGATACACGTAGCCCTGGTTAAAGTAGTCATAGGTCGCGCCTGGGATAGCGTCGTAGATGGCCCTGCACGTTTCATCAGAGACCAGAGCGAGCGTAGTCCCAGTGTCGGCAATGGCCGTGTTGCCCCTCCGCTGAACAGTCCTGCCGTTGACAGTCGCAGAGGGGGAGTCGAACATCCAGAAGCCCTGCGAGTTGTCAACAGGAGTCCAGTAGATCTCCTCACCAGACTTCTTGACGGTATTTTCGTCAATGTACCCGAAGGTGTAGAAGCTTTCGCCTTTATCTTCGTCATCTACATCGCGCCAGCTGCCGAGATATACCGTGAAGAGCTCGGCAGATTTTGGGATGTTGGCCTGCGCAATCATGTTCGCGACAGGTGTAGCCACTTGCTTCGGGGTGACGGTGTTGATGTGGCCCCATGCGAGACCGAGAAGGCCGTCGCCGGTTATCGTGACAAACTCGCTCGACATTCTATTCGCAAGCTGGACGGCTTGGTTTTTAACAGTCAGACCGCCCATCGTCACATTATCGATGCCGACAATTCCAGACGCAGAGGAGTTATCGCCATATGAGATTCGCCAAGTCGAATTCTTCATGGGCTTGAATGTAGAAGACTTTTTGGGGTCGAAGACGGAGTGGCCGGCGGTTTTCTGGATATTGGAGGGAAGTTCGGTGGACCAGACCTAGCCAGAATAAGCATAAAACTTCATATGGGTGGTCGAATAGCTTACCCAAGTATCAGCAGAACCGGTGTCAAAGTCGAGCAACAATCTCTGGGGAGGTGTGCCAATATAAACCTCGGAGAGGTATATTGAATCATACTGTATATCCTGCGTAGGGACTTCGCGGGCCTCTGCCTTCGCCGCAGCTTCCTCTGGTCCCTCCTTCTTGGCCAAGGCACTATCAGTGCGTGTCTTCCCAATAATCTTCTTCAAGAAGCCAAAACCGAATCCTTGCCGGAGAACCTTGTCGACGTGTACATATGGACCAGGGAGGGTGGGCCGGAAGCCCCATTTCTGAAGGAGATAAACGTAGGACTTGAGGCCAGAGTGTTGATAGTTGCTGTTGGGGACGACCTTAATCTTGGAGAAGTCCTGGGTAGACATGCCGGAGAATGGAAATGATAATAGTTCAAATAAGAATGGTATGTAGGAGTGGTAATGAATACAGTTCTTGTCTCGAGCGATAATAAGATACAGGGTAGGAAATATAGAATACGGGATGCGATTTGAGAGAGAGATAGAGAGACAGAGATGTTTGAGAGCTAGTGAACTAACTTATATCACCATGCCGGCGATGTTGTGAATCAAGAGCAGTATCGCCCCTGCCCATCTACCTAAGATAGCCCTCTTGATTCACCGGTGGTACCTGCCACGGCCACTCGCGGTCCAAACAAGCTTTGCCATGGCAAGAGCGAGGGTCCAGCCGGCGGGGCAAACGGCCGGGGCTTGGTATCTCCACGCGGGGAGGGTCCAGCCATAGCATCCCTGGCGCACTGGGCACGTATCGATCGCTTTCGTGGGGAGATGACGACGACGATCGGGCTCACCAACGCCGGTGACGCTCGATCGTGATAAAGCTTGATCACGCCTCCAACACCTGTCTCAAGGCTTGGAGCGTTTCTTATTTCACGTGATCCCCTGTCAACTTATCACCAAACTCGGAGATTATGGTAAAGTAAGATGTGCCAGTGGGTGTCCCTGTGGCTGTAGAGAGGTAAGGTACACACAAACGGTTTTGAATGTACGGTCCAATAACGAGTTGTACTGACGATACATGTTGGTTGGTATATACCAGTCTGCATTATGGCACATCTCAAGGCTTCATAGTGCACATTATGCGGTGTTACACCCCTTCATCTCATCCCTTGCGTTGGGATTTGTGGTTACAGCATGCACTGTGAATTGATGTCTCACCTGCAGCCGACGTCATTTGAGACCCCGTCAAACGTCCTGCAGATTCCAGAGCGCACGATTCAGAATATACAACATAAGAGAACACCTCGGAATATGGCCACACTATATGTCCTTATAATAGATATTTATATTGTGTCCATAACGCGATGGGCGTGTATATTCTGATTCTAAATCAAGTTAAATCTCAGAAAAATCAACGGACGAATTCGACGTGGCGGCCTCCCATGCCGCTACTGTACTGTGCCTGCCAGCCAGCGAAGAAGTTAAAAATAATGAGAAGTCTTGCTGATGGTAGCCCTTACCTCCGCCTTACTCCGTCCTCTTTAGGCGCGTCTCCAACATAACTGTCTCCCCCACGTTCGACGGATAAACCTTCACAAGCTCAAGGCCGACGGCGTCGAAAATCTCATGGAACTCCTCGATCGTCTTCTCCTTTCCACTGATGAGCATGAGGCTCATGTCAAGCCAGTAAAGCTGCATCGGGACTCCGACAGTCACGCGGCTGGGCACCAACATATCGCATACGATGAGGCGCGAGTCAGGGCCCATAGCAGAGACGGTCTGCTTGAGGATCTCAACGCAGACAGGGTTGTAGAAGTCGTGGAGCAGACGGCGGTAGAAGTAAACATGTGCATCTGGAGTTATGTTAGTACTGACGTGGCAGTCAGGGCAAAAGATAGGACTTACTCTTGACCGGCTGTGGCGTGAATAAGTCGTGGACCGTAGCTTCGATATTAGGGATCTCCTCTGGCTTCAGCGAGTCAATGACAATCGGTAGGTCCTGCAGGATCATCTTCCCCCCAAACCCGCCAGGGCAGTCCTCCTGGATAGCCAGAAGCGCTTGACCCCTCCCACCGCCAATATCGACGACGAACGCCCTCTCGGGCTCCTTCTCGACCTGCTCCTTCAGCGACTCGAATGGGAACATGCCGCGCACGGGCATATTCTTCTCAGACATTTGCATCGCTGCATTCCACATATTGCGCTGCTCCACATCGTCATTCAGCACTTCGTAGTACGAGCATCCCTCCTTACCCACCGAGAACGCACACGGCGATTTCTTGAGATCGTATAAGTCCTCGGGTGCGTGCGTCTTCAAGTATTCCGGTAGCATCCCCATCGCCTTGCTTAGATCCATGCACAGAAGGAAGAATGCGCCCGCCCCTTCCGGAAGCAGTGCCAGCGACAGCTGGTTATGCGTATACTCGTTCGACCCCGTCTCGGTGGCAATGCCCTGCACGAGAATGACACGCATCGCGCGGTGGATAGCCGTGATATCGACATTGACCGCAGCCGCGAGATCCGCCGCCTTGATCGAAGTTCCGTCGCTCGGCAGCTTGTGCATCGCGCCAATACGGATGAGCATGTTCAGAGATCCACACACAGTGAGGTTCTCAAACATCCGGGTAACGACATCGTATGGCTGTTCGAGCTCGGCGCGCACCTTGTCCGTCTGGTTTAGAAGCAAGATGTGCGCGGTGGAAGACCCATCATAGGCCTTGAGAGATTCGAGGAGCTTCTCGGTCGCCGCAATGGCGGCACTGACGTCGGCGGACGACATTGACAACGGTTTTTATGAGAGCAGGGTCTTTGTTGGATTACCGACACAGTGTTCTGGGGTGGAGATGGAGTTGGCGGCACTTGCTTTTGCTGATGTGGCGGATTCCCCGCTTTAAGCAGGCTAAGAAGGAGGAGAGTGGGCTGTGGGGGGCCGTGGTTATCTGCTTTAGAAGATACTCCAGATGCCCCTCTTTTGTCACCCCTCCCCGCTACCGCCATCAGCACAAGGAACTCCGGCAGGACTCTGGTAAGGAAGAGGTGGCCACGTGCAACCGAATCCTTTTGACAAATCGATGTAAGAAGCGCCAGCACGAAGCACTTGCCCGTCTCGCCCTTGCCAGGTTACGACATGGCGCACCCTTTTAAGCCTATTCCGTTGACTGACTTCCACGCCGTCGCGATGTCGTCTGAGGAATCCAGCATATCTGCCGCGTGTCAGGCCACCCGTATCCCTGCGTCCCAGACGCATGAACCCCTAACACGTCCCTGCCAGCCAGAGTCCTACCCACGCTCGGGCCAGTGAGCGCCACCACAACCAACTACACTCGATAGGGGTTCAACAGTCCTGCATGGCGGTGTATTGCATTCGAACGAGGCTAGAGGTGCGGAAAGTCCAATGATGCGCGTCGGCCCGGGAGTCTGGAGCGACCAACATCTGGCACAGGGTGGTGGACACTACCCCGCCGCCATCCTGCCTTCAGCCGATTTTGCTCTTCTCAACTACTTCTTTCCCCGTACGCCACCTCTCCATCTGACATCACACCCGTGATAAAAATCACGCTTTTCGTTTCCATATTTTAGTTTTGCCTACCATGAGCGAAACTAACGTGGTGCCGACTTTAGTGGAGGAAGATCATATCCAGGCCGACGAGGTAAGGAGGCACGATGGTCCACAATCCCTTTTGTCGTACGAGATGTGGTGTAGCATTGAACTCGTGCTTCTTATTTGGAAATGTTGCCCCACATGCTGGTCACGGCAGTGCCTAGGATAGAATGGAGGGAGGTTAATAGCACAGTAATACTAACATTTCTCACAGACACCATACGATGGATGACCTTGAAGACGGGGTAGGCGCCATGTTGCACCAAGTCTGGCACATGGACTACGAAAATCTGACACGGGATCCCACAGGCGAATGATGTGGGAAGCGTAGGCGGTAGTTCGTACACATCCATCACCTCATCCATCCTCCGAGGCGAGATAGGGGAGGGCGGCAGGACATACGTCTACGAGAAAGAAGGTAAACCGTCCCCGAGACACCCTTTCTTCGAGTACAAGGTCTCACACAGTGGTAGAATATGGCCTCCCCATGGACAAGTGCCACGCAAAGTACTACGCAATGCTTGAGAAAAAGCGCTTCTTCGCCCCGATCGAAAGCAATCCTCAGAAGATCTTGGATCTCGGGTGCGGCACAGGTAAGGGAGCTCAACGTGTGCATACGGCCCGTCCTAATCCCTCTCGGTCTAGGAATCTGGTGCATAGACGTGGCCAATGAATATCCATCAGCTGAGGTTCTGCCAGCACGTGGCACCTTCCTTACTTCACAGGTCATCGGAGTGACATTGCACCCACACAGCCTGACTGGTAATTTTCACACCACATATGTGCATCTCCAACCCGAACTGCCAGCCCAACAACTCCCAGGGTCCCCCCGAACTGCCGCTTCGAGCTTGACGACGTGGAGCGCCCCTGGATGTGGAAAGAGAACAGCTTCGACTTCATCTTCTGCCGCGACCTCCTCGCCATCCGCGACTTCCCAAGCTAATCGACCAGTGCTACACGTCAGTCCCCTTCCCCTCTGCACAACTATCCACCCCGACAACTAACCTCCGCAGTCACGCGAAACCAGGCGGATACATCGAGTTCCAGACCGTAACAGCATGCATCGGCTGCGACGACAACACGCTCCCTCTCGATGGCAGCTTTCAGAAATTCGCCGACAACCCGAACCGCTCGGCCAAGATATTCAGGACGCCGATCGATGACCCGCTGCGCTGGAAGGGCTGGTTCGAGGACCGCGGGTTTGTGGATGACGGTTAAGGTGGTTAAGGTGGTCAAGCTCCGTGTAACACGTGGCCCAAGGATCCGCGGATGAAGGTGGTCGGGGCGTGGGAGATGGAGAACCTGCTGGGCAATCTGGAGGGCATGACGATGCGGGTGTTCCAGAAGGCGTTGGGTTGGACGCCGGAGGAGGTTCAGTGTTTTTGGTGGGCGTTAGTAAGGAGATTCGGGATCGTAGTATCCATGCTTATTGGCCTTTGTGAGTTTCCCCGTACTTTGTTGGATGTAGAGAGGAGTGCTAAAAGTGGCAGTTACACCATCTATGGACGCAAGCCGCTCTCGGGATAGGTACCTATGGTTTAACTCCATATAAGGGGCTGGGATGAAATAGTCGTACCTCAGCCGGGTAGATGGTTGGAACGGAAAAGATGAAATTCTCTCACGTAACCTCGGTACCACTCTGCGCCAGCACGTCGGGTATTTGGGTTTCCCGTCTTGATGGAGGAGGAGGATTCGGTAGAAGGACTGGCAACAGGGGCCGACACTAGGAACACTGTGTGTCGCGGCATTGCCATGTCGGGATACGGGTAGCCCCAATCCACGCCCCAATCCACGCCCCATTCCACCTGCACGCCCACCTTTGCAAATTCTGCCTCCATGGACCGCATCTGCTCCAGTCGCTGTCATATTCCGGCTTGCAGTTATCCGCTATATCGATCTTCAAGCGCCGTAGCTTGGGAAACTTATTCGGTACCGCGAGCGCGAGCTGCTGTAGTTCGCCTCGCATGCTGTTATAAACGTACCTTAAATGCACGATCTGAATCGACGCCGGTAGTAGCGTCACGAGCCCCTTCGTACCTCTCGAGCCATTGTCATGGTAAAGAAACGCCCACTGGTCCATCACCAACTCTTCCAGCTGGTAAAACTCCTGCAGCGATTGTATAGTCTGATGCTGACTCTTCGGCATCAAGTACTCGTAGTGTGAACTAACATCACTGTACGACGTAAGCCTCAGATATGAACATCATGCAAAACCTCCTCAGAACGCCCCTAAGCGGCGCCAAAGCCCCTAACATCTCCACCACACAGAACGCGGTGTGGTAATAATACTCTACATCCCTTAACCCCCCACACCACCTCACCATGACGCTAAACTCGTTCATTCTCAGCTCCTCCGCCACCAGCCTCCGCACCTTTTGCAATGACAGAGGCGCATTATCCACCAACCCCTCGCTGTGCCACCCCAGGATGTCAGTCGCCTGCAGCGATGTCAAGTTCGGCGCCATCCTGAGCAGCGGCGGCATCATGGCCAGGTTATACCCCTTCACACCGCTGCGGAACGAGAGGGACGTGCAAGCTGGCAGGAGTCGGGAAGAGGGCTCAATATAGGTGCGCGGTAGTAGGGGGCTGTGGCCTAACATCAGATGAGAGGTGCGGGGGGTGAGGATGATGGCGAGTTCGCGGAGCCAGGGGTGGATGGCGATGCGGGTCTTTTGGGCGCGGGAGGGTGGCGTCGATGACCCATTGCGAAGGTGGGGGTTTAATGTCGTGGTTTTGCTGGTGCTGTTGAAGAGGGGGGGGGGCTCAGGCGGGAAGGCGGGGAGATTGGGACTTTGCACCTCTTGGATTGGAGCTGGAGGGTGCGGATGTGGATCGCCAGGATGGGCTGGTGGATTATGGTGCGGAGGAAGGAGGGGAGCTTGTCGTCGGCGGTGGGGTAGTCGGAGACCATGGGGTTGAGGGGGCCTATGATGTTGCCGGTTGCGTAGTAGTGGTAGAGGATGGGCTGGGCGATGGCGAGCATGCGTTTTGAGACGCGGCAGAGGCGGGCTAGTGTGGCCTTACTTGCGCGGACACATGGCTCATCGGGGTTGGGCAAGTCGTTGGGGTTTTGGCGGTGGGGACAGAGGTAAATGCATATCCGTCCAAGCAGTTCTTCGGGGAGTGGTTGGGGTGCCATTTGGAATGTGATGCAAGTGGGTACTCTGATACCACTCAGAGAGAATAATAATATCAGTTGGAGAGGGGTAGAGTAATGAGAGATAGTTACACTGGCTGGTTCCTGTAGAAGTAATAATATGAGTGTTTGGGGATAAAACCAGGCACCACCAGATGTTGAAACAAACTTTCGATTCTGGCAGTTGGCGCATCGCATCTTGTGCAATGTGATAATGCACTGTAACGCCATCACATATGCCAAGTAACAGGGACCACGCACTCAACCAACCATCCTGCCGGTTTTGTAGGAATTGAGACTTTTCGAAATAGCGCTCACGGAGTTACATGTCTCACCGTGTACATAGATAAACGACAATGCATTTAAAAAGTAATTCTATATACATTAATATAGTACCAATCTCATTATCAACCCCATCATGTTATCAGTAGGCCAAAAACACACCCCCATCCATCGCGCCAAAACCGGGTATAACTCCTAAATGCTCTCTTTCGCTACAACCAATCTCCCCCTATTCTCTCATACAACTACCCCCCCTCACTGATACGTCTTCTGCTGCATATGCATCTGATATGGATCATGCTGCGGCGGCGGCGACACCGACGCTGGCGACACCGCAACCGGGGCCGCGTACTGTACCGGAGACGCAGCCGTTGTTACGCTAGCAGATCCCATCGCAGGTGTGTTCGACATCTCGGCATGCTGCGGCTGTTGCGCGAACTGGCCCGGGGCGGGGTACTGCGCGTACTGCATCTGCTGCTGTCCGTGCTGCGGTGGCGTGTACTGGAATGGCTGTGCTTGTCCCTGTTGGCCAGGAGTGCCGTACTGGGTCTGCTGGTCGTACTGGCCGTCGGCGAGTTGGGTGCCGTGCGGGTTGTATGGGGCGGGGGGAGGTGCGTAGGGACCGACTGCGACGTAGTGGGGGCCGGGTTGGGCGAGTTTCTGCTCTTGGGTGAGGCCGCTGGCGTCGGAGTGGCGTTGGCGGAGGCCGCCAATTAGGGCGACGGTGAGGAAGATGGCCATGAGGGCGAAGACGGTGACGAAGGCGCTGGCGTAGGAGAGGGTGTAACTTTGTCTCGCGTAGGGGTCGCTGGCGAAGTTGTAGACGGCTTGTTTGACGAGTTCGAGGAGGGTCATGAGGCAGAGGGCGGGCATCACGATGGTGAGCATGAGGAGTGTTCCCTGGCGTGGTGTTAGAATGTGGGTTCTTTTCTTCTGTGGGGGGGGAGAACATACCATAGAACTCCTCTTCAATACGGCGAAAATGGCGAGGACGGTGAGGAAGAGAGCAAAAGCGAACATATATGACGCCTCGAGAATGGACGTATACAGCTGGCCGTCAGACGCGATGCTTTCGACATATCCCAAAGACATCACCTCAGCGTAAACGGCGATCGTAAACCCAAAGCTGACTGTGGTAATTGTCCACAGTAATCCAACAGCGTAGCTGGCAATCTTTTGAGAGACCGTGCCAATGTCATCGGTGATGGTGCGGGCGATGATTGCTACGATCAAGACATTGGCAACTCGGGCGAAAAAATCCTGGATAATGTAGCCGATGTAGATCAGGGCAGTTACCGTGACGTAGGATTCCCCCAGGGCCATGAAGATAACCGACAAGAGGATGTTGCTAGGTTGGAAAGTCAGTCGGTTGGATTCAAGGAGCGTTAGAATGGTGCATCTCTTACCAGAACATGAAGGACGTAGCACAGATGTAGCCTTTGTTTCGCAGCTTGTCGGTTCCCCTCTCGCGGATCCATTTGAAGCGCCTGGTGAGAAACATGCACACGATGAGGATGATCAAAAGTATGATAGACGTGGCAAACAACGCGGTAACAGTCGGGTACTGGTTCGTTTGTTAGCAAACACTCGTAACGACAGGCTTCAGTTTATATTTCCTTACCTGCCAGCCGTATCCAGTTAAGGTGAAGGTATCAAGGCAGTGAGCGCAGGATGAACCACCCCCACTACTGTATCCTCCAGATCTTCTTGGTGCCATTGCTGCGACGCGGTATTATGATATTATTGGCGGGGGGGGTTGCTTTGGTGATGTCGACGAAATTTACTCTTCGTCGCGTCGAAGGAAGAGAACGGGAGGCGAAAGTTTTCAGGACATGGAGGGCCTTTCCAGTCATTTTAGTCCCTTGGACGTTTGGAGGTGGAGGAGGAATAGGTGTGGAGCGTCGGGCAGGTAACACCCCGAGCTTATTTGACAGTTAATGCGCGACTGTGGGTGTGACGGGGGTGTGACGGGGGTGTGACAGGAGTGTGACAGGGGTCTGAGTGGCTCAGATAGCTCAGATAGGCACAAATAAGGTTAGACACTACTAAATTGGAGCTAGTGATAATTAGACAGATGCTAGAGCGCAACTAGACAGGAGCCGCTAGTCCCCATCAGTCATCATCACTAGCAATAACTAGTGCCAAGCGAGGCTGAGCTACTACTATTTATACTATTTTGGTCCAGATTTCCCTATTTCCCTCTCTTGATGCTCTTTGCCCACTGCCACTGCCGGCCGGTGTGACTGGTCTGGTCCACCCGAGGCTTGCTGCGGTTACGGTATGTCGGTTATGTCGGTTATGTCGCGGTTAGCGGCGTGGCAAGTAGTGGTACAGTTGACACGACCCGTATTTGTTTTGGCTGTGTTGTCTCACCGCGCAAGGCATACTTTTATAATTTTATGCACAAAGGGTTGTATAAGTCATTAGCTCACAGTGTGAGTCTGATGAAATCGTGCACAAGTCTAACACCTTGATATTCTCCTTATTATTATCATGAGATATTTTTTCAGTATGCGCAACAATTGATTAAAAGGCGTGTGTGGTTTATATAGTGGTTATTGATGGCATGGGGGAGCGCACTGCTCCACAGGAGTCTAATGATGATCTCCAGATTGACAGCATCACCGTGCAACCAGGGGCGAAGAGACGCAGGAGACGGCACGGATCACAGCCAGCTCTGTCTCGAAATCGAGAAGCTCAGCAACAAGTTCGACAAAAGACAGGACGACATGTTAAATTCGGTGCTGAAGCAAGTCAACACGGGACTAGAGCAAAACGTCGCGTTTCGGAAGCAGAACGATGCTCTGTTAAAGCATAATGATGCGTTTAAAAAACAAAACGAGGCAGGTCGGACGCACTATCGAAGCAAAAGGCTGTTCTTCTCGAGCGTGCCAATGTGGATGCCATGGCCATTCTCGGAATGAGAACTCAAACCAAATACTGACTTTTCAGAAACAAGGAGTAACAAGATGAATGCTTTGAATCTGGGAAAAGATTCACTCGGCGAAGACAGGCTGATGGAATGGCGGGTGGGCGCTGATACGGTGAAGTTGGGGGGGGGGGTTATGTATTAGTAGGATGTTGAAGTTGAGGGGGGGTTATGTATTAGCAAGATGTTGAAGTTGGATTGTAGTAGGCAAATACTATCCGATTTGGGGACTGTACTCGAATAGCCTCACTTCAAAGCCGAATTGCACATTGATACTCACTCCCGTTCGACGTGATCATTTGCCTCACTGTGGAAGTTCCTACGTTGTAGGCCAGTTGAGTTACAACCAAATGTAAATATCATCAAATAAATAATCCTAACAGAACAAACTCCATTTCAAACATCTAAAAAATTCTTGCACATGCGCTTCATAGCCCAAAACAAGCCCATACAGCAATACCGACACCTGCGTCTCCGCAGCTCAGCCTCCATTATCATACAATTCTATATTCACCCATCACGCCTCTTCTATGCCTGGCTCAAGAACTTCAGAGCCTCCTCCCTCTCGCCCGCCGGCAACATGCCCAGCACCAACTTCACACCCCTCAACCCAACTTTTCCACCCTCCCTCAACAACCTCGCAATCTCTCCCGCCGTCGACTCCCCCTTCATCGCCTCAACCTTATCATGGACCTGCTTCCTATTCTCCTCATACCACAACGCCACCTCGCGATCCGCCGTCCCGAAGTTGACAATCCCACTCCACGCCTCCAACAACTGCAGAGAGCGCGCGCGCGTCCCAGTGGCGCCGGGCTGCGCTGGCGCAGCAATCGCCATGCGCTTGACGATGTACTCCTCGTTTAAGCGGCGGCGAACACGCCAGTAGAAGAAGCGACGCGCGTTGCGCCACTTCAGCGAGTCGCGGATGACGCCCTTGGCCTTCATGCGGCCAGCGCGATCGTGGAGGTCCGCGAACTGGAGGGAGACCTGCGCGTAGACGGGCAGCAGGAGGCGCTCGCGGGCCTGCATCTGGTCGGCGACTTCGGCGAGCTGCTCCGGGCTGAGAGAAGAGTCGGAGAGCTGCTTCTTGAGGGCGCCGTAGATGGGGTCCAGGCGGGCCATGGTCTCAAGCTGCTTCTCGCGGCGGAACTTGATGTTGACGATACCCTCGGGCTCGAGGATACCACCGCGGGAGTCTTCGTCGGCGTACATCTCCATGCAATCGGGGTTGATGGTTGGGTCAACGACAACCTGGTGTTGTTAGTATATTAATAGGATGAAGAGGAGAAGGATACATACCCATGATCCACCACGGAGCTCGCCAAACGGCGGAATGTAGACGAAGATTGGCTGCTCGTACTTGACCAATGCATCGACAATGTATGAACCATACTTAAGGACCTCGTTGAACATATCACGCTGTCCACCCGAGAATCCTCTCCAGTTCGCCAAGATCATCAATGGCAATTGCTCACCATTGTTGAAATCCTTGATGGCCTGTGCGGTCTTGAAAGCGGAGTTGGGGTACCAGACACCACCAGCCTCATTGGAGATCTGCTCCATGGAATCGGGGTTGGCAGGGTCAGCTGGAGTGATGTTCTCGACGGAACGAGACTCGACGGCGATGACACCCATTGGGATACCGCCGAGGCGAGCACGGCCGACAACAACAGTGCGAGCCCATCCGCCAAGAGTCTCAATGAAAGAGTTCTTGTCGAAGAGACCGGAAAGGAAACCCTCCTCGTCTTCCTTACCGGCGATGAGCCATCTGACGTCAAACGCTTGCTTGTCAGGAGGCATGTACGAGATCTCTCTGTCCCAGCTATCAACAGCTGGGCTGACTGGCACGGGGTTGTTCTTCTTGTCTGGAACGAACGACATCCACTCGACAATCTTGGATACACCCTCGAAATCATCGTTGGCGGTCATGTGGGACACACCGTTCTTGTACATGATCTGGGTGCCACCAAGTTGCAAGTTGGAGGTATAAACTTCGCGACCGAGGAGTTTGTTGATAGCAGGTGCACCAGTGAGAATGATTGGCTGGCCCTCGATCTGGATAGCACGCTGACCGAGGCGAACAAGGTAAGCACCGATACCAACAGAGCGGCAGGTAACCAAGGTGATGGTGAAGATATCATCATAGGCTCTGCTTGTAGCACCGGCAATCAAACCAGAGCCCTTCAAGCACTCAACTCCAAGGCCATCTTCGGCACCGATGATGGTGGTGATCTTGTGTCTCGTCTCGCCATCCTCGACGATCTCCTCGGTGATAACATCCTTCGACTTGCCATCCTCAAATCTGGCCTTAGCCTCAGAATTCAAGTACAGGTACTTGAAGCCCGCCTCTGGCCTGTCGGCGTCCTTCCACGCAACGTTGAAATGCGGGATAAGCTCGTCGGCCATACCGATGCGAGCACCAGAGTTGGCAGAAAGGTAGATGCGGGGAATTCCAAGCTTACGTGCGAGCTCAGTGCACTTGTTGAAGAAGTGATCTTCCTTTGGGCCAAAGGATCCGATTCTGAAGGTTATATCGTTGGCGATGATGATGAATCTGCGGCCCTTGGGGTACTCGGGAGTTCGTGCGGTCACGATCCATCCAACCATACCATGGGTGTTAGTGCCCGGCTCGCGGGAAACCTCAGCGAGATCGTCATGGTCATCAAGAACCAACTCGCTGTAGTCAATGCAATCACCAACTTGAGGCTGCTTTTCCGCCAGCAAGGAGTGCTCGCCGACAGCCTTGGCCCAGTTGTTCTGGATAGCCTGTCTGAAAAGCTCCGGGAAATCGTAGACGTACTGAGTACCCATCAAATGGGCCTTGTATCTCTTGGGCTGGAGCCACTCCTTGGTAGGGTACGGCGTAGAAACTGGACGCAAGTGCATGGAGCCAATTTTGGTCGTGCCGCCAATGCTCTGGAACACCCACTCGCTGCCCTTTTCAGACTTGCGCTCAAGGTACATTTCGACCTGGATGACGTATCCAGAAGTGTTGGTAATAACAACACGAAGAGGATAAGGCATGCCAGTGACGGGGTCAGTGCAGATGATGCGGATCTCAGCGCCAGTGACGCGGAGGCGCCATGACCTGCGACCAAATCGCTCCAAGAAACCAGCAAGGGCCTGCTCGACCTCTTGTGGGATGAGCGGGAAGACTGGTGAGAAATTGATGAAGATGTGGTTAAGATCAGAGTTATTGTTGCCTACAATCTCTAGAGCATCGAGAATATCGTTCATCAGTCTGTCAGCCTCCGAGATGAGATATTCAGCGGTAGGAATCTCATCACGCAGACGTCCAGGACGAACCACGGCACGTGTGAAGTAGCGCTTGTCACTCTCCACATCCTTGCCAACAGCCTGGTAAACGTGGATGTTCCTGTTCGCCGTGAAGACGGGCTTGATGTTGAACTTGGACAACCTCTCAAGCTCAAGCTGATAGGCCAGAGCTGGCTCGGTGTGCCTGATCCTGTCATCTTCTTCGTAGTGCGGGCCACGGAAAGTGAAGTAGCCGGGGTAAGAACCATCTCTGTGTCCGCAGATGAATGTAAGGCGTCGAACACGGCGCGCAAGGAGCTCATCCTTGTAGGTGCTGACAATAGCCTTGATCCTAACTAGTAACTCGGCATCATCGGCAGACTCGGAATCGCGGATGGCAACATTGCAGACGGCTGTAAGCTCATCGTTGTGGGTTAATGGAATTGCCTGCGGAATCTTGCGCTTGCCGCCAAGGTCAGGCATAAGGGTGTTCGGTGAGGGCTTCTTCACCTTGGCGCCAGCCAATGGGAAGACTTCGAGGGCTCTAGCAAGGTACTCCTCGGCCTCGTCAATATACTGGACAGGAACAATGACACCCTTTCTTGTGGTCTCCGTATCAGACTGGTTGACAAGGTATGACATGTCGCTAATGGAGCTGATACGCTTGAATGGATCTCTGCTCTCCACGACTGGAGTCGCTGGGGTTGAAGGAGAGGACTGGACGGGCAGTCCAAGCGCTGACTGTCCGACCTTACGGAGGACAAAGTCCCACGATACAATAAACGGTGGGTCGCTAGACTCGCTGTGGTACTCAATCTTCTTCAATGAGTATGCACGGTACGCACGGCGGATATAAACTTCAAGGGCAGCAAGTGAGACCCATGCGTCTTGGTGACCAAAGAAGATGGGGAGGACATCGAAGACGGTGTACTTCGAGTCAACGACTTCTTTCAGGATCTCAAGGCTGGGCTCTCTGTGGTCCCATCCAGTCTCACCATACCTCGACTCGACAACGGAAGAGCGAAGAATGTGCTCCATCTGGGCAGCGCGCTCCTCGAGAGACGGAAGTGCGCACTGGATCAGAACCTCGCGAGCCTTAAGAGAGACCTTGGCAGTTTGTCTCGACTCAAGCTCAGTGAGCCCCTTCAGTGCTGGGCGGAAGTACTTGGCGATGTTACCAGAGTTAGGCCTGTTTGGCCTGTACTCGTCGAGAATGGCAAGGATGAGGTTATTCTTTGCGCCTACTCTGCTGTGCGAAAGTACAGTCTGGACAACCTTGGGGATGTCGTCCTTATTATCCTCCCTAAGCTTGAGGATGACTTCCTCATCTCTCGAAGTCCTTCTAGAGAAGAGCTTCTCGACTTCAGCGTACTGTTCAAGCAAGCCAGAGAATACATTAAACTCGTTGACTTTGTGACCATCCACGTATTTTTCAAGCACCTCGGTAAGCGGTACCAGGGTGGACTTGAGGATGTCAGTGTCATTAGGATCAACATTCTCGTCGAGGAACTTCTGGAGGGCCTTTTGCAGGTTCTTGGCAGGGAACTCTGCCTTGCGGGCCTTAGCACGGTCGACAATCTGACCGAAAAGGCTGTCAAGCTTCTGGGGCATTCTGGCGTGCAGCGCAGAAAACTGGGCATTCCACTCCGAATATGGCAACTCAGGATCTCTGAGCACCTCAATCAAGTCCTTAAGTGTCTCGTTCATGATGAACTGGTTGTCGAACCCTTGGAGGATGTTGCGGAGGATATTGTGAAGGAGAACAAATCTTTGGGCGGGCTTGGTTCCGACGACTTGTGGGCGACCGAGGTCAGGTAGTTGGCTGAGGAAGGGCTGTGCGTGCTTCACTCTCGATGGGTCATCCAGGGCGAGTATACCAATGATATCACCAGCCTCGAGGGTAGCTCCTGGCTGCTTGATAAGCTGCACAATACCGTCTTCTCCAGCGAGAAGGGGCATGTACATCTTCATGACCTCAACCTCGGCGTACGCCTGGCCAGCCTTGACGTGCTCGCCGTTCTCAACGGTGAACTTGACGAGCTTTCCTGGAGATGGAGTCCTCAGTTGGGTGGGGTCGTTTTCTTGCTCAAGGAGGCAAGTCATGCTGTCAACGCTCAATCTGGTCGCTCCAACTTCCTCCTTCCAGTAAACGTTGTGAGAACGTCCACTGAGAAGAACAAGCAGGCCGCCGTCGCTGAGAGCTCTCGCGCCAACTGAGCACTTAGAGCCATTGATGAACAGATGGTAGCTATCAAGACTCGATCTCGTTGCTGTGAATTTGTATCTGTGGCCGTCGTAGATGAAATCGATCTGGAAGACAGTCTTCAGAACCTCTTTGGCGGGCACTTGACCCTTCTCTAAGCTGGTTCTATATTCTGACATGGCACCCTCACTAGCAATGTGGGCCTTGCATACTGCACCACAAACGACAGCAAGCATTGAGTCTGGGCGCTCGGCAGTCAATTTGTTCGAGATCAGTTCATCGAGCCAGCCGGTGGTGATGGTGTTGTCCTCGAAAGCGGGGGTCTCCAACAGCTTGATCAGATATTCAACTGTTGTCCTGAAGTCACCACGGATGCTCAGCTCTTTCAGAGCCACAACCATGTGCTTTCTTGACGCGGATCTGTTCTCGCCATAGGCGAAAATGTGACCAAACTGAGAGTCAGAGAAACTGTGAATTCCACCAGCTGTGCCGACGGAGAAGTAACCCCAGACATTCGAACTACTCCTGAAGTTCAGTTCGTGCATAACACCGTTGGACGGCTTGAAGCCTTCTCCGGGATCTTCAGAGGTGATACGGCAAGCGGTAGTGTGGCCCTTTGGCGATGGTCGGCGTTGGGTGAGGGAGCTGTCCTCTTTCGAGAAATCAAAGTCGATCTCGTTCGACCCAGCAGGGTCCACGCCGTATAGGAGACGAATGTCGCGAATGCGGTGCAATGGCAAACCCATAGCAATTTGAAGCTGTGCAGCTGGCAGGTTGACACCAGAAACCATCTCCGTTGTTGGATGCTCAACCTGCAATCTAGGGTTCAGCTCGAGGAAGTAAAACTTGTCATCCGAGTGCGAGTACAAGTACTCGACTGTTCCAGCTGAGACGTAGCCGACCAATCGCCCAAGACGCACTGCGGCCTTCTCCATAGCCTGGAAAGTTGCAGATTTGGCGATAGTAACTGGCGCTTCCTCGATAATCTTTTGGTGGCGTCTCTGGACAGAGCAATCTCTTCCAAAAAGTGAGATATTGTTTCCGTATTCATCTGCCAGCAATTGAACCTCCAAATGCCTCGCGTTTCCGGCCAGCTTCATGATGAAGATAGGCGATCCAGGGATTTCGCTTGCAGCAGCCTTGTACAATGCTTCGAATCCAACCTCGGAGTCTGCTTTGCGAATTCCCTTTCCACCACCACCTTCGGATGCCTTAATCATGACTGGGAAACCGATTTGCTGAGCCTTCTCTAGACCTTCTTGCCATGACTCGACGCATCCCTTCATGTAGATGTGATCTTCAACAGTCACCAGGCCTCCCTCGTCAACGGCGACTGTGTCCACTCCAGTTCCTGACCACGGAATACAAGGCACCTTTGCGTGCTGTGCTACGATCGTCGAGGAGATCTTGTCACCGAGCGATCGCATCGCGGATCCGGGTGGGCCAATGAACACGATCTTTTTGGGCGATGCGGCCAGCGACTCGGGCAGTTTGGGGTTCTCGGATGCATGTCCCCTATTTCAGTTTAGCTAATGTCCTTCAATGTTCTCCCTATCTGGTTATTCTTACCATCCAGCCCATACGGCATGAACATTCATTCTCTCGGCCACGTCGACAATCAACTCTACGTTGGCATAGTTGTTATTATTTGTGCCTCCTGGCACCTCCACATATTGATCTGCCATTCGGATGTAGTCTGCGTTGGCCTGCAAATCTTCGGGTGTCGCCATGACAGTGAACTGAATCGCCCTCTCGTCGCCGAAGGTCTCGTACGCCCATTTCCGGACGGATCTGATCTCCTTGACGGCTGCAATTCCATTGTTCGCAATCAGTACCTGCACAGTAAAGTTAGCTTGGCTCCATCTCCCTTTCTGGCGGTTTGTTGACACGTACGTTCGTGATCACGGTGTGGCCGTCACAAGCCGCCACAAAGTCTTTCACTGCGCCGGGCGCCGCATTCTCCAGCTTGTTACCGCCAATGAAGTGGTCTGCAAGCTTGTGTCTCGATGCGTAGGACGGTGTCGAGCAGTTGACAAGCGGCACAGTGCCATTGGTGTGGGCCTTGACGCCGTTGGCGACAGTGTCAGCCGCCTTTGCCTGGACGGACATTATATCGAACCGGCTTATTTACACGAGCTTAGTCTGTTGCGGCTGCCAATTTGTTCGATGCTATCGTCGTGTATTGGTATACGGTTGAGGGAGAACCGTAGGGATGTTTTTTCGGGCTCTTTAGGGATAATAAAAGGTTTGGGCGTGGAAATTGGATGGAGAAGATAGAAGAGCGGTCTTGCGGGGCTTCGGGGTATTAAGAATTCGTATAGAAATAACAATCGAATATCAAAAGAAGAAGGAGGATCTGCGGGGTGAAGAGAGAGCAGAGCTTTAGGGTGATGAGAGCGAAGATGATGTTTCTTGTGAGAATGGTGGACGCTGGAGATATGAAGGGAGGAGGCCTTTGCGGTTTATTCGGGGAGGGAGCTGGACCAAAAAGGCATGGGGCGCGGGCAAAATGTCCCACTGTTCGAAATACGTAGAGGATGCACCCGCGTCAACCAATCAAAGGGTCAGAAATCGCTCTCCGCCTTCGTCCGCCATACCTGATTTGAATTATCCGTTCGTTGGGGGATGGTGGACTTGTTGAATCCAGGCTAGTCCAAAGACGGTATGGTGGACTCGACGTTTTGAAGCGGATGGGAATTAATTGATGAGAACTATCATGGGGAACTATACATATACAGTATAAATCCCAATCTAACTATTTCATCTCTCCAACAAGAATCCTTTAATTGATAATATTACGGGCTCTTCGTTGCACTTCATGATTCTGCCAATCCTTTTCCCCGCCATCCTCATCATTCGGACCCGAGTCACGAAAGGTTCACAGCCTTCGGGGTATTTAGAGCCCACCGTTAACGGAAGTCGTGGCGTAACGCAAAGGGTGACGTAACGCAAAAATGTCACTCTGCACCGAACTATGTATGTAAAGGTACTTAAAATGAGAAAAATTGAAGTTATAATATCCGCCGCAATAAGAATAATAGTTCCGTAAATATTTATATTTCGGTGTTTTTTATACAAAATATTAACGTGCAATGTATAACGAAAGTGCCAAACAAGCGAAAGTGCCAAAATATCGCGACTACCCCATAAGAATTGCGATAAATCCACCACAACAATATAAATTAATTAAAACTACTCGGAGTCCTCTTCCTCAGACCTGTCTATTACAATCTGACAGGTGCACGCATTGTGTCCAGTCTCACCACACTTGCCACAGCGACGTGCATGGGTTTCTTCCCTTGGCTTCCGACCACTACTTGCCCTTATTTCTTGCTCTACTTGTGCACAACGTCCCTCTCGTCCTGTAGCTCCTGTGCTACCTGTTGACTAAGTGATCCTCCTTGCTGTAGTCGTGTTTTTTTAGCTCTCCAGCACTTGCTTAGCACTTCATTTGCCTGTCGCAGGTTTTGGTTCTCTGCTTTTAACAATGCTAATTGATGCATTATTTGCGATGCACCCTTTGTAAACTGGTCAACAGCTGCATAGATTTAGGTTGGAGAGCTATTTTGATGATGCGCAATTCAGTTTTTAATGAAAGTAGACTGTGATACAGCTTCAGTTGGGTTATTTGGTGTCTGAGAAACCCATGGTTGAGCGGTGTTTGGGCGAGAGGTTGGAGGTGTTGGCGTCTTAAATCTAAGGTCAAGTGTAGATATTACACTCTCAGGGCTAAATGGAAGAAGCCCAGCACCTCGGAACCCTCCCTGAATATTGCTTTCTGTCATTGCAATGTTAAATGCAGCGTGGAAGGCAGGAAAGAAGTCATCCTTAGTAATGTGAATAATATGAGCCCGCATCATATCTTCAATTTGCCGACCGTAAGCTCTCTTTAATGGGCCAAAACAGCCAACATCAAGTGGTTGGAGTATATGGGAAGAGTGAGCAGGCATACAAAGCGTAATAATGTTGTGTTCTTTGCAGTACTCCTCAAACTTGTCTGAGTGGTGGCTCTCATGACCATCAAGGTCTAACAAGCGATAACCACCAACACTCCGGGGCCTTGTGTGCTTCTCAAAATGCTGAATCCAATCCATACCTCTCTCGTTTGTAGTCCAGCCATTTGCAGTAACAGTGATTACCCAATCTGCTGGAAATCCGCTATTCTCATACCAAGATGCAAGGTGGTTTTTACCTGCCACAATGACAAATGGCGGCACTGCCCAACCTTGAGAACTAACGCCTTGGATTACTGTAACCCATTGTTACGACGGAACAAGAAGGCTGGCCAACTACAGGACAGGAAGGAGGGAGGTCGCATGAGACCGGCCCTGGTACCTGGAGGGGCAGCGGGGAATAGTAGTTCCGAAAGTATCACGTGACGGACTCGCAGGATGATGAGGAGAATCCTAAGAGTCCAGGACTCCGAGGACTCGAGTGAGTTCCCAGGAGTCCACTAGGCACGACGCCACTATATAAGTAGATAGTATTTCCTTAGATAGGAGCTTCGTGCTCAACTCAATACAGTATTTGTTATATACTAGTAACGTGTTACTTGAAGCCTTTGTGTCTGATCCCCTGCCTCCTCTGATAAGTAAACCTTTACGCAAGAGAACCTCTGTGTCTTCTATCATTTAGAAGTCAGCGTTACACCCATTCCCGATTGCCAGGCTGCACCTTTTTTGCCTTTGCCCGCCCATCTGAGCTCGTTACTACCGTTGCGCTTGAGATGACGCCCATCATAAACCCAGTCTCATCAAAGTTGTAGATATCTGCATTGTTGATGCCATACTTTAGAATTGTGTTCCATACAAGCTCAAACCAGCCACGAATGACTTCTGGATCTTTGCACTTAGCCCTCTGGTAGTCGTATTTTCGCTGGAAGCGTGTCCGGAGCTCTACATGGCACTTAACAAAGTTTGAAGCCCAACGTGACCCGACGCGTGGCGCGTCGCGTGTTGCAAGTAGTCGATTTGCCATATCTTCAACAATAGACAACTGAGGAGGGAACCCTTTAGCAGCTAAGTCAAGTATATACTGAACAAGAACTGATTCCTCTAGGTTACTTAATTTCCGTAAGTTGGCTTGGATATCGCGTCGTGAAGGTACGCCTTGTAAACGGTGACGTAGCTTGCGGTGGTCTACGGAATAGATCCTAGCTGCAACTCGAAGGCGCAAATTTGGGTCGCTTTGCATAGCTTGGATAGCTAGCACTAATTTGCTTTCATCATTTTTATGGCGCATGTTTTGTTGTGGAGGAATTTAACATTTAGTTGGGGGGGTTGGTCACCGCATGATTTTGGCACTTTCGCTTGTTTGGCACTTTCGTTATACATGCACGTTAATTGCTTTAAAGCTTAAAATAAAGGAATATACGTGTAATCGTGGGTGGAAGCAAAGTGCGACCACTCGAAGCAAGAGGAAGCAATGTGCGACCACTCAAAATTGCGACCATAAGTACCCCCACATAGTAATTTGTATGTAAAAGTACTTAAAAATTCAATTCTATGAAATTATCACTTTTTCATTCCCACTCCCACGCACTCCCATGCCCACCCTCACTCGCACTCTCATATTCTGACCTAGAATCAGCTTCTGGGTCAGTAATTGGGTCTTCTAGCTCCGGAGGAATTGGGAGGTCTGATTGAGTAAGCTGAGCCAAGCTCTTCTTCCGGAGGCGCTCCTGTTTTCGGGCTTCAATTTCCGCTCGTTTGAGCTGCTTCCGGGCTCGGTTTGTAGCCTGGCTCTGCCTCCGGGCTTCTTTAGCAGCGAGCTTCTGGGCCTCAAGCTCAGCTTTCTGGGCCTAAAGATCATAGGCTTCAGAAGCCCGGAGCTCACCTCCACGCTGGAGTTGGGCCCGGCCCCCCCGCTTCTTCTTGGAGTTCTTGACCTGCTGCCGAACAGCCTGTAGGTCGAGCTCCTGGAGCTGGCCGGTGGCCAGAACCCGGGCTGCCCCAGTAAGCCAGTTACTGTAGCTCTGGCGTGAGGGGCTACTAAAGGCCTCTGGAACCCGCTTCTTCCACCGCTGTAGGCCTTGTAGTAGACGGAATAGGCGTAATAGGCTGTGGCAGGGTAGGTGTTGTAGGCTCTATAGGCTCTATAGGCCCTGTAGGCATAGGCTCTGAGTACGTACGTAGCTTCTCAATAGCTATATCACAGCTTATAGGCCACATACCAGCTTTCCGGAACACTGATTGTATGGTAGACTCCTTAAAGGTAAGCTCCCGCATTCATGGGAGATCCCTCATAAATAGGGGTAGATTGTAGGAAATGTCCACTTCCTGTATAGCACAGAGCACAGCCTGCCTATGTGTAACACTGACTTCTAAACGATAGAAGGCACAGAGGTTCTCTTGCGTAAAGGTTTACTTATCAGAGGAGGCAGGGGATCAGACACAAAGGCTTCAAGTAACACGTTACTAGTATATAACAAATACTGTATTGAGTTGAGCACGAAGCTCCTATCTAAGGAAATACTATCTACTTATATAGTGGCGTCGTGCCTAGTGGACTCTTGGGAACTCACTCGAGTCCTCGGAGTCCTGGACTCTTAGGACTCTTCTCATCATCCTGCGAGTCCATCACGTGCCTAGTGGACTCCTGGGAACTCACTCGAGTCCTCGGAGTCCTGGACTCTTAGGACTCTTCTCATCATCCTGCGAGTCCGTCACGTGATACTTTCGGAACTACTATTCCCCGCTGCCCCTCCAGGTACCAGGGCCGGTCTCATGCGACCTCCCTCCTTCCTGTCCTGTAGTTGGCCAGCCTTCTTGTTCCGTCGTAACACTCGCTCCCTTCCCCTGGGCATTCGTCTCGAATCCTATAAGTACGTCCATGTCCCCGGGACTCTGCTGCTCCTCAGCGAGTCCTTCAACATGCAACATGCCTACTGACACTGCCCGCAAACTCCAGGAACGCAACGATCTTGTCCGTCGAATAAAGAACCACGGATACGAACTACCCGAAATGGATTCTTGCTCGAACTGCGTGAGGCGAAACATTACTTGCGTGTCGTCTCCAAATGATTCACGGCGGTGCGCCGAGTGCGTTCGTCGCAACTTGAAAGAAAAATGTGACTGTATGGGTCCTGAGCATCCCGACTGGGTGAAGCTCGAACGGGAGGAGGATCGCCTGGATCGCGAAGAGGAAGAAACCCTTTCGAAGTTACTTCGTCTGCGGAAGCAGAAACGCCTCATCCGAACCCGTGGTAAAGATATGCTCCGGCGAGGTTTGAAAACCCTCGACGAGCTTGATGCGGCAGAGGAGGCCGAACGTGTGGCTGCTGAGAAGCGTGATGCTGTTGAGGCCGAGGAACAGGCAGTTAGCGCTGCCTCCTCGTCTGTGACCGGGACCCCCGCTTCCTCCGATCTACTGGCCTACTCCCCTGCATCTTGGGATCAATGGCTGGCGGATGGCGGCGTCGATATTCCTCCAGCAGTTCTTTGCTGATGTTCC